TCTGCTTTCCCAAATAGATTGTTTTTTAACACTGCCTGTGTTTGGGGGTTTTTTTGTTTGTTTGTTTGTTTTTTGTTTTTGTTTTGTTTTTATCTGTACTATGTTTCTTATTATCTCCAGTCCAAATTCAGCAGCTCTAATGTTCCGATATGGAAGACACTTCCAGACTTCTCATTCTGAAGGCTTCTTCTCATTCTGAACCTGCCTGCATTTCTGCTGGTTTTGTTTTAAACTAACATTGCCCGGCCTTTTTGCTCTCTTTTGCCCTTTTTCTGAAGAAGTTATCAAACACGAGCACAAACAATCTGTCTCAGGATTTCCTCAGCCTTCCCATCCTTTCATCACATGCATGCCTCCGTCTCTTTCCCAGAAAAGATGAGTCTGCTCTTGCCAGAAGTCTTTATCCAGCATAGAATCTGGGCTACTAGAGGAGCCTCAAGCAAGAACAACTTTAGGAACTGGTGCCCCATTAGATTAATCAGGGCAAAAAGGAACCCAAGGATAGACTTAGTCTATCCTAGCACAGATAGGATGAGCAATTTTTTTTAGACAGAATCATCTAGAAATGAACCTGACATTACAGAATTACTGTTCCTTAATACTGCTGTATTTTAAGTGTTTCAGTGATATACATATCTATCTTGTTCCTTAAATTATAGTGATCAAAAGTTTATCCAAAACTTGTTGGAGAAGCGTGGAAGGAAGGTGTCTTGGACGTGGTTCTGAAGGGAGAGCTGATTGCAGTCTTGTGTAGCAAGATCATTAATCATCCTGATTCAGATAAAAGGAAAGTCCTCTTGTTCCCACCACAGTCAGAGGATTATAATTTGAGAGGAGTTTACAGAACTGGGCCTTAGCCCAACAAGTGATTGTATTTATCTGATGTTCCAGCGATGTGGGAACTGGAAGGGTCATAGCTCAGCCAACAGGGTGAATCCTTCCATAATTATATCCATACTCATTACTCAGTGAAGGATTTTCCAGTGTGTGTCCCCAGCAGGCCATGGAGTCTCCTCAGCATATGCTGAGCTGCAAGGTCTCTGCAAACATCATCCTCCTGGAGGTCCAGCTGCCTGGGCTCAGGGCCCTTCCGTAGGCCGCCTGCCAGAAATCACACCTCTTTTGATGTCATATCTTCACACAGAATCACAGAATCACAGAATATTCAAGGTTGGAAGGGACCTCTACAGATCATCTAGTCCAACCTTCCTGCTCAAGCAGGCACACCTAGAGCGTGTGGCACAGGGTGGCATCCAGGCGGGTTTTCAAGACCTCCAGAGAAGGAGACTCCACAACCTCCCTGGGCAGCCTGTTCCACTGCTCTGTCACCCTCACAGGAAAGAAGTTCCTCCTCACCTGGAGACGGAACTTCTTATGCTTCAGCTTGTGGCCATTACCCCTCGTCCTATCGCTGGCCACCAGTGAAAACAGCTTGTCCCCTTCCTCCCTGCATTCTCCCTTCCTGAACTTATACATATTAATCATATCCCCTCTGAGCCGTCTCAGAGGGGAGAAGGGCAGGGAGAAGGGCACGCTGGGGAGAAGGGCAGGGAATTGCAGTGTGTGGAGCCCTGAATGCCTAGAAATGCTTCCAAGACGCCATTCAATGTGTTGGGTCATCCTTGCCAGTGGTGCAGACCAAGACCCCCGCCTTTGTAACATCTCAGATTCCTGTTCCCTGGTTCATCCCAGTTAGCCCTGGAGGAGGTCTTGGTGGCAGAGAGCTAGGTGGCCAGGTCCCACTGACTGATGCAGAAACTACGTAGGAAGGAATTGGATGTCACTCATCCCCAGCCACCAGCCCTGACCTCTCTACTGGCTGCCCCAGGCAAAAACCATGGATTGAGAACAGGAAACACCTACAGCCTCCGCACTGAAAAGCATGAGTTGCTACTGTCTGAACTACTGCATCTGGACTGTGGAGACAAAAAGGGATAGCAGCTACATAAATATATCTAATTCACAAGCTGTTGTAGAGGGCTGAAAACCCACTGTTAGTGGATTATGATAATATTTTTAAAAGGGTGGTATCTTATTTGGAAAGAGGAACAAATATATAGTTTCTCCCAGTTTGAGTGGGACTCCATGGTGTTTTAAGTAAGCTGGACTAGTATCAGTGAGATGGAATTTGACAAGCTGTCAATGACAGCACTTTCCTATAATTTTCTCTTCAAAATCTGTTCTTCTGGAAAATAAGTGATGGAAAAGAAGATGAATAATTTATTATTCACTCATTTAGAAGGAAGTTGTTGGCAATGCTTTAGTCACATGCAGCAGCTTTGACCAGATGATAAGGGAATAAAGGATTAGTCATCAGTATTGCAATGAAAGAAAAAGGTCAAATGTGTCTTCAGTCTAACTCCAAAAGTCCAGTTTTTGATATAATATTTTAAAGCAGTGACCTTAGATACTCTATTTTCACACAGCAAAATAATTCCAGTAGAGAACTGTTGGTTTGAATATTAAACCTATTGGATGTGCTTACTTTTCTCTGTTGCCTTTTCAAAATCCATTGGGAATAATTTGTGTGCCCTCAAGCAGCTAGGTACTGTATATTGACAAACACTGTCTTAAAACAGGGGCTTCATGGCATTGTTCAGAGAGAACAAAATCTGGCCTGTGGAGGTACCGTCCCAAGCAGATTTCCTCAGAAAAGTTGCTCCACAACAAAGATTCTTGGGTGAAGTTCCGAGTTGGACTTTCAAATCTCCCATGAGACAGGATTTCAGCCATGCCAAGATTTTAGGACTAGAGGAAATGGCCACAAACTGAGGCACCAAAAGTTCCACAGGAACTTGAGAAAACACTTTTTGTCAGTGAGGGTGACAGAGCCCTGGCACAGGCTGCCCAGAGAGGTTGTGGAGTCTCCTTCTCTGGAGATCTTTAAAACCCGCCTGGACGCAGCCCTGTGCCACGTGCTCTAGGGGACCCTGCGTGAGCAGGGGGGTTGGACTAGATGACCTCTGAGGTCCCTTCCAACCTTAAGCATTCTATGATTCTATGATTTTTTTCCCTCAAAATAATAATAATAATAATAATAATAATAATAATAATAATAATAATAATAATAATAATAATAATAATAATAATAATAATAAAGCTGATGCCTGCTGGCTCCTCTGAGATTGTCCTTGCATTTTTCATGCAGGTTCCATCTGTCGTGCATCCACTGCATCCACAGTAGATAAGTCTATGTCTCATTTTTGCCCTCTGGTTACTGTCAGGGTTGCCTCCTGGACAAGTCACCACACAAAGGCAATAACTGTTATATTTCAACAGCAGAATCAGGAAGCATCGTGAGAACAAGTGTCTTCCTTGGGAACTGAGAAATGCCAGTACATGTTAGAAATAGTGAAATCTGGGTGGTATAAACACTCATCCAGCTATAAAAATTAAGAGATTCTCCAACATTCCTGATTTTGACAAAAGATGGAGCACTGTGAGCTTCACTCTAACCTCCTGTGTAAATCGCCCTTCTGAACTCACCATGCACAGATCTGAGGTCATCCTCTCTTCGATACCATTTCTCCGAGTTTCCATTTGCAAGTTTCCCACTTCTTCTTGTAGCTGTTTAGATCCAATTTGTCAATATTATTTCAACATGCAGGTCTGATTGCTAAAGCTGACCTCGCCTACTTATAACTCCAGCCTCACATTCCCAAAGGGCAAAACCAGTAATTGGCAACATTACTCCAAACAGCATTCCTTTCCATGCTGTAGTAAATATGACCAATGCAATACCACAGCCTGCAAAAATATTTCTGTACCTCGTAGCTTTCACTACACTTAGAAGTATTTAGCGCTTTTACATAAAGCACTGTGTTAATTACCAGAAAACTGACTTACCTTGCTTTGGAAAACAGTGAATACATTAACTTGTTGTTGCTTGTGCTCAGCTTACTCACTTCTAGACATGCTTGATAAGATTTAAGCTGGATTTATAATGTTATGACATTTTATGTCTCAGCTTACTTTAGTTCATATTGGCAACTGGGGGTGTGGATAAGCTGTCAGTAGCACTCATATATTAGTATGATAAGCAAAATGTGAAGCCCAAGAGGGCAAAAGAACAGTAAGAGTTTAGGTTTTACTACATACAGAACTTAAATTGGCCAGGTAAGAGAAAACCTAAGTTTCATGAATATAACATCTCCAATTTACTCCCCCAAGGATGATCTAAGGATGCCCACAGGGTCAATTGCTCCCTTGAACTGCAGAGAAGTGAAAATTTAAATTATACCATCACAAACTACTTGCTCCTACAAATATTAATGCTGATCTGAGCACAGCTTCTGTCTGAGAAAGCCCTAATCACTGCAGATAAATGAAAATCTGGGCATTTAGCATTTTAAAATAAGCTTTTTTTAGCTTTTCTTATTTGAGAGCCATGTCTGAAAGCAGGGAGGAGAGGCAGGATCTGGTGGCTGGGTTAGGGATGAGCAGAGAAACCTGTGCCAGGATCTGTGCCAGTGCTGGGTAAAGGGATTAAAGCTCAGGCTACGCACACCAGGACGGGTGAGCCAGGGGCATCTCCACTTACCTGTGGACTCTGTCCCTCCGCAGCCTCCTTTGCTCAGTCATCTGCATTTCTGTGGTGAAGGGCAGCCAAGATTTAATATAAGGGTGCTGCTGGTGGGCAACGGTGCCTCATTTTACCAATGAGGCTGAAGCAAGGCAGAGAGGAAAGCTCAAGGCTGTGGTGGACCATCTCAAATGGAGATTTCTCGCTCCCCACCCTGTGTTCAGTCCTTAAGGGCCAGTAAATGTCAGTATCTACAATATTTCACATTCCAATTAGTTGTTAGATAGTCTGGTTTTGTTACAGTTTGCCTTCCATTGTTTTAATCTTTATTGACCTTTTTAGTACTTTATGTTTTATTAAAGATTTTTTTTATTAAACATTTTTCTTCAAACAGAGAAATTGGAAATACAATGTCATCATGTGTAATGTGCTAACATTTTTTTTTTCTCGCCTGACTTTGTTTTCTTATCTACCTTAGGACATTTATTTACCCCTTCTTCACTAGAGGCAGACCTTTCCCACTGCAATTGCTTTTCTTTGGCACGTTATTCTGTATCTATAATGGCTTCCTTCAGGGGTACTACTTGATTTACTGCGCTGAATATCCAAATGATTGGTGCACTGACATCAGATTTACATCAGGTAATTACAGCTGCAGGATTCCCAAGATCTAATCTCCAAGCAATTTGTAAGCATTTGGAATTGTGTCCTAATCTCCGCTGAACATGTGAGTCAAATCAGTTGCGATAGAAATCAGCATAAAACCTGCCTGCTGGCCTAGATAAAATAAGTAAATACACAATGCCCTCCTTTTTTCTTTCTTTTTTTTTCTTTTTTTTTCTTTTTTTTTTTTTTTCCTAAACAGCCACCTTTGAAGGCACACAGTATAAAATATGAGAGCAGAGTTTCAAATCACCAGCCTTGTTTTAGTGACCCCGCACTGGAGCACCCTGCTGCTTTGGGCTCACGAGAAGCAGTGTCAGGGACTGGCCCTTGCTTAGCCAGAACTGTCTACCAAGCAGTGGCCGCGGGCAAGTGCGAGCTGTGGCTTGCTTTCCCCACCACGGAGACTTGCAGCCATTCTGACCAACAGAGAAACCCCAGCACAAATGAGGCCGCCGAGACAAAGGGCTCTTTTTCCCTTGTATGAGGCACATGGGTGGATTAGAGAGCATGCACCGTGAGGTTGTATGTTAATACAGTTCCTTTATATTCAGGAGCTTAATAGCCTAAGTGAATTTGACCCTGTAAACTCTCAGAGAGAATAACTATGATGGAACAGCTAGTGGCATTACACATATGGTGCCTGCGTTAGAGGGATAATGTTTTATTACATGTGTAGCAATGAAGATTAGCATAGAAGTCAGAGGAAATGTTTTGGATGTCACGACTATGAAGTGGCCAAGATACTTTCTGTATATGCTGTTCCTTGCTGTGGATCAAAGACCAGGCTTTTCGGATAACATCACATTTTAAAAACACTGGATGGTATTTAATAACAGCTTTCATAGCCATCAGATACCCCCCACACCATAGCACACTATTTGCATATATATATATTTGTGTGATAAATAAAAATATACATTAAGTGTAAAAAAAGGAAATCAGCATAAGCAGTACTTAAAATATTTAATAGCTTTTAAAATAAATAATGAGGCTAGCAATACATTCCTCCTTTACAGACTCTTGTCAACATTCTGTCACTATTAGAATTGTGAGGTTTTACCAGCACTTTTACCAACACTTTCTACATTTCAGCCTAGCACACACCATCTCTTCTCCTACCTCTTGACTGTTAGAGATGGTTTCCTCAGTGTCTAATGTGGCATGAAATGTAGGGCAGGTCACCTGCCGAGTTTCTCAATCAAATATCTCTAATTTTGCAGCTAAATAGAGTCTGGTCAATGAATCATTGTAGCCATCAGCTGCCAGATATCTCCAGCGAGCTGCTCACTGCTCCGTGCATTTGCAGACAGCCTGGCCCAAAGCAAGGGCCTTGCTGCCCCTGCACCAAACTGCACTCAGGTGTAGCTTGCTTTCCTGGCTCATGTGAGGTGCTGGATATTTTTGTGCTACCTGTGCTCCCATTTCCCCAGCTGAAAAATGAGAATAATGCGATGTGCCTGCAGTTCAGCAGTTACTCTGCAGTATGGCTGACTCTTGTCAACGTGCTTTTGGTAGAGAGCCTGCCAGCTAGTGCTAGCAGCCTATCCACTACCCTTTTCAACTTCTACCTGCTCTAAGAGATGCCTCAGGAAGAAGAAGAGCAAGCAGCAAAGAGCTGGGGGCAAAGTACTCCCCTCCAGTGGGGAGCAGGGTGGCAGGGCCCTCCTCCAGTGACAGGCAGAGTGATGGTTCCTTTCTTGCCTTGAGCTAACCTCTCTGGATAAACACCCACCTATCCTCAGCAACCCAGAATAACTCACCATCCCAGATCCTTTGCCTATTTCCTTATCTAACTTTTCAGCTGCTGTCAGGATCTTGTCACTTAACTCAGTTCCTTCTAGGAACCGCTTTTCTTGGATGTCGAGTCCCAGTGCGCCCAACTCCCACTCCATCCCAATACTGATATCCTGGGGACTTTCCATGTGCAGATAACTGCTTGCCCTCCTCCTGGGCTCTGCTGAATGACTGACTTCAGTGATACCTTTGCAGTAGCATGTTCTAAATTTACTAATATATCCTTTTATTGATTTGAAATCTTCTTAACTAACTGAATGTTTCTTTTTGGTGTTTTTCCTTGCTGTTCATATTACATATTTTCTCACATCTATAAGAGATCCAATCTTTCTTTATGAGAACTCTTTTTTCAAGTCCTTCTTATTTATTACTCAATATTGGCCAGCCAGTAATGACGCCCTGCCAATGGACCAATATCTTTGATTTGAGACATGTGCAGTCTTCTCTGTATATTCATTATTCTACTCCTAATAATTTTCTTCACTACAGCTAGGAGCTTTTTTCACAAACTGCCTGAAAAGAAGCAGCAAATTTAGAACCTAAATGCTTTATGATTAATGTATTTTCTCCATAAACTTGCATTATTTTGGGTTCACTGTGCATTTCATTTCAGTTGCCATCACACTGCCTACTCACCTGCATTTTCAACTCTGAGACATGTCCTTGCTAGTCTTTAAAGGACTTTGTGTTACCTGCAGCTTTACTCATTGCTCATCCCTCTTTTGATCCCTTAGATTTTGAGGGATATTAATTGATCGTTAATAAACATACCTGTGAAACTCAGTAAGGAACTTTGAGGCATCCAACAGTTAACTTTTCAGCAGACTAAAAAGGAACTGTCCTCACTTTGAGCTGCTCTGGCTGGTGGCACTTAGTAGCACCAAGCTCTGCTCTTCATCTGGGTATAGGACATAGAGGTTTACTAAAGCATGATGACAAAAAATCTGCTGAACAATCACAGTATCTACAAAACTGTGTGCAGAGGTGTTTCCTGACCTCTCTCTGTTTTGACCCATGCCCTTCTTGAAAACTGAGTGTTCCCTTGCCCTCTGGTTTTGAGGCATGCACATATCATCTACCCTAGGCAGTCATCCAGTGTCTTCTCCCTTAGGCATCCTTGGCAGCTCTGCTTTCTCTTGCAGCAGTCAGGTACTTCATTCAGGTACTCTCCCCTTTGACAATAAAGGCAATAAAAGGTGAATATGATCAGCTGGGAAGTCCATCTTTTCCTCACACCAGCAGGAAGTTATTCAGGTTTCACTGAAAAAAATAGCATGTTCAGGGTACACATCTTTATGTGCAGGATTGCTCTCCACACCAAAGTTATCCAGTGCAGGCGATTCTAAGTGATTCTGATCCCATAGCTGACACAAGGATAAACAGTTATTTTCTATAACTCATTTATACTTTCCCAGTTAAGTAGCCTTTTCAGCATATCAAAAAATATATCAAAAACCCCACAACTTTTTGGCTTGGAAAGGACTCCAGCCCATTCAGCTTAGGTATTATATTTGCTTGCTCCAAAAATTTACCTGACAAATGTGCTTAAGTCCTTGGAGCAGGTGTAAGTGGAAAGACCAGGAAGTGACTTTGTAACTCATTTCTCATTTCTGTTTCTTAGGCCTTCTCTTATTTCTGCTTGGAATGGGGATCAATATTCACAGTGATCTCCTGTTGCGCCAGCTGAGGAAGCCAGGGGAAGTCACCTACAAGATCCCACAAGGTATATTTTTGTCCCCCTCCTCCTGAAAGAAAGTAGATAGAGCTAGAGCATGTTTTCTGACTGAAGTGCAATACATGGCAATGATGCAATGATAGCAATACATGATGGTTTCGCTCAGGTTCTTGGTCCAGATACCTGTCTGAGTGGCAGGGACTAGTGGGAGGTGGCCAGAGAGACTCCACAGGGAGCAACAGAAATGTCTGGAAAACATGAACTGTGAAGAAGGACTGTGGGAAATGGGTTGGGTAACTTAGAGAAGATTGAATGTGGCAAGAGGTTTTAGCCATGTAAAATGCAGTTGCAAGCAAGGAAATAATCTTGATGTGTAAGAAGATATGGATTTCTTATATTGCAAAAGGGAAATTTAAAGTGTAGACTTGAGAGGGAAAAATAATAGTAAGGATACGAGGCATGTCATTTCCATTGTCTCCTTGAAGGCAGGCTTGGGGAAGAAGAGTGGCCAAGGGCCAGAGCAGTAAATGAGCAAACCTCTAACTGTGCAGAAATATGTGTGGGGAACCAGAAGCTTCCTGACTTAGGTCTTGTGTCCTGCTGACTTGCAGTGGATGGTAATTTATCTCACTAAGTATCTTATTACCTCCAGTACTTACCTGTCTCTTGTAGGTGCTGTGATTAGCTAAGAGTCAAAACTGAGGTCTGAATTTTGAATTCCCTAAATGTAGTGAAGTTGCAATATATTTTTAAAGCCAGAAGAGAATGCACTGAACTATAATTTCAATAATTCTGATAATGGACTTTCTTATGTCGCTCTCTAAATGCAAAATGAATGATTGTGAAAGTGCTGGAGGCCTTCGTGTTAGAATCAACTCTGATTCTTGTACAAGAATCCTCTACAAGATTCTCCTTGTACTTTGGCTTGGCTCCACTGGCTTCAAATAATTGATTTGAAGTTTTATGAGCTCTGAAAAGAAATGTACAGCCAACATTACGAGGATGGATGTTTCATGTGCATGAGATTGTGAAAAATACGTATTTTGTCCTTCAATGCAGGGGGACTATTCACCTATGTTTCTGGAGCCAACTACTTTGGAGAAATTGTGGAATGGTTTGGCTTTGCCATAGCGACCTGGTCCCTACCAGCCTTTGCCTTTGCCTTTTTTACACTTTGCTGCATCGGGCCACGTGCTTATCACCATCACAGGTATCAAAATCCAAGGTGTTTCTTGCAGTATGTTGCTGCTTGCTCTTGGAATCGAGTTTGCAAAATGCCAGGGAGGGGGATGAGAGCAAGGCCAAAATTAAAGATAAAAGTGAAATTCCCTATCATGTATGGTAAGTTTATTGACCTTTATGTGACTGTCTGAAAGTAGAGCAGTGGGTTAGAATGCTTGTTGAGTGAATCTGATAGACATTTAATCCAGCATTTAATCCAGTTAATGAGTTACATTACCATTTCAGCCATGTCAAGGCCTCTTTTTACTGCGTATTATAAATGGGGGCCTGTTCTAGAGATCCTTTTGCAACATCATACATGTATGATCAGAGATATGGTCCTATGCTCTGAACTCCTAAGTTTTCTACTTTCTGTCTCATATCATCTTAATATTATTATAGTTTCCATTTAATTAAATAACCTACTGTATTTTTTTTTGAGACAAGTCTTTTGCAGGATAACTCATACAGGTTACAAAATGAGGCAGTTTGGAGGAATTTTAAGGTTCTTCAGATGAGCTGTATTGAAGCAATGCAGCTTTCTTGCATATACGCAGTTTCACTCTCTTGCTTATTTTTTTTCAGGTACTATCTCAAGACATTTACGGACTACCCAAAATCAAGGAAAGCCTTGATTCCTTTTGTTTTTTAATGATCGGAATAAGGACTCTGTGTTCTATTTTTATAGGGATTTTTTTTCAATCCCTAATTTTGAAGTTAGATCTGACTATAAATAATTGTGCAAATGGTAACATGGAGTTAAAACAAGAAGGAATTTGAAATTGAAGTTCTTGTTTTTAAGTACAGAGGAAATCATGGATAGCCACGGCTAAATGGATCCCCTGACAACATGTTCCCTCATCGGTGGCATTCTACCTGTGGAAAATGGGTATAACTTTGCTGACATCAGAAAAAATCATTGGCTGAAGAGATGAAGCCAAGTGATGAAGAGAAGGAGAGAGTAAGCTCGTGACTGGACAAGAGAACGTCTTCAGCAGCCATTCCAGTTTATGGTAGCTCTGCAGCTGCTGCTGCTTGTGCCCATGCAGCAGTGTAGCTGCCCTCAGCACTTCTCCAGGTGTTGCCCAACTATAAGCTGGTATTGAGGTCTCCTTTATCATGAAAACAGCTTGGTCCGCCTTTTTTTTTTCACTTTCTTTCCTTCTAAAAGTCAGGTCAGCTCCCCGAACTGTAATGCCACAAGAGGTATGCTGGTGTCAGCACCAGGCTGGGAGCGGCGTGCCATGCCACGGAGGCAGAACAAGCTGCACAAAGTCTGGGGAGGTGGAAGCACCTTCAGCTGGCACATTCACAAGGGTCATGTCTGTGGTACTCCTGAAACAATATCCTTCTCAATGCCAGATGATTAATCTTTTGCCACCACATTTTTTTAAATACACTTCATTAAAGCAATCGCAGCTACATCATTTTTTTTCTCTTGTGCCTTTCAGAATAAAAAATGTCTTCTCAAGAACTATCAAGGTTTACTTGTTAAAAGACTTCGGATATTGTTGTATGACAAAAAAAAACAGATAAAAAACCTTTGGATTGAAGAAAATGTTCTCTGACACTGGCAGTACATTTTGTCTAAGAGGAAATTTTCAGATACTCATATTAGGAAATAAGACAGGTATTATTGAATTTCCACAGAAACACAGTTTGTTTCTTCTTCATTTCAGAATAGTTAGGATTTCTTCCCAAAATGTCATTAACACCAATAGGAACAAAGATCCCAGAGGATGCTAATAGTTTTAGTTACTCTTTAGAGCATAAAATCCTGCTAAGAATTATGCTGAATAGCTGGGAAGAGAAAGACCAGACCACACATACTAAACATATGACACGCTGCTGAAGCAACCTGATTGACTGTATGCAATCTCCTCCAAAGGTCAATAAAGTTTATATAAAACACTGAGCTCTGCCAGTCTCTAATTTATTGGTTATACAAACAAGTCCTGGTGACTATGAAGTCCTGCTTGTACTGGCTTCCTTTTGCAGGCAGAGCCTCCATGCTTTGTTAATTCTGTTAGTTGTCTCTGTTATGGCCCAGGCTGGTGCTGCATGTTGTGGGGTGCTCAGGGAGAGGTGGCCACTCTGCCAACCAGCACAAACGAGGACAAGGGAGGGATCCAGCAACACTCAAGACACGGTCCTCACTGCACAGGCCACAAGCTGCGCCTTGGTGCTACAGTTGTGTTGTTCCTCCAGTTGTGTTATTTGAATCATCTCTGCGGAAATGCACTGGGGAGGAGGCTGGTGGGACGTCATAGAATCATGATGGTTCGAAAAGACCTTCAGGATCATTGAGTCCAACCGTAAGCCCTTCAACACCCATGTGTGCTAAACCATGTCCACAAGTGCCTCACTTGCATTTTTCTTGAACATTGACAGGGATGGTGACTTCACCACTTCCTTGGGAGACCTGTTCCAATGCTTTACTCATTCAGTGTAGAAATTTTACCTAATATCTAACCTGAACCTCCCCTGATGCAACTTGAGGCCACTTTCTCTTGTCCTAAAGCATGGTGAAGGTGGGGAGCTGAGCCCCACCAGGGGTGTTGGGTGGGAGAGCACAGCCTATTTGCAAGCATGGTGGGTGTCCAGCTCGCAGCCACAGCCAGGGCCTGTCCAGAGCCCCTGACCAAGCAGCTCCTGAGGATCCTGTGCCAGCTCCAGGTGCCACCCAACTCCTTCCCACAGTTTTTCTTTCAAAGCCTCACAACCTAAAATAGAGCAGCTTGCCTGTAGGCACCAGTACCCCACTGCTGTCGCCTCCATGCATGTCTGAGGCAATCGAGGGAGCAGTGACCAAGTTTTGCTTCATTCACAGAATGGTAGAGGTTGAAAGGAACCTCTAGAGATCAGCTAGTCCAACTGTACTGCTCAAGCAGGAACACTTAGAGCACATGGCACAGGGGGGCATCCAGGTAGGTTTTGATGATCTCCAAAGAAGGAGACTCCACAACCTCTCTGGGCAGCCTGTTCCAAGACTCTGTCACCCTCACAAGTGAAAAAGTTCTTCCTCGTCTGGAGATGAAACTTCTTTTTACTTTTTTGAAAACCCATATAATGTTTTGTGAAGACTTGGTGGTTCCTTTCAATATCACTACTGTTAGAATAGGATTATTTCATATTTTCCTGTTATTAATTATTAATATTCCTTTTTTTTCTCTTTCTCTCTACAATCACTTTAAATTGTGCTCATCGATCCTGTTGAGTTTTCCATACCCTCTTCTAATATTCAGCCTTGATTGCTGCTGTAACTAAACAATCATAGGCCATCCAAGCCTAAGGAAGGTTGAAAAAAGGGGCGATTTTCCCAACAGCATTTAGGAAATTTTACTTCAGTTATATACGTCCTCCCCCATGGTGAAGAGAGGGGGCATCCTCCCCCTTTTGGAGAGGAGGAGGAATGATGTGACCCGTGCTTCCCTTCACATCTGCGCTGGCCGCCACCAGAACGCAACATGTGGCTGTTGGTGGGGACGGAGAGGAAGCGCGGGCTGCCCTGCTGGCTGTTGTGTCCCAACAGAGCTGGTGGCAGCTGTCACCTCTGCCAGGACGCCAGGCTTCTTCCCCAGGAAGGGGAAAGCCCTGCAGGGAGCCAGCCCGCTGGGAGCAAACAAGGAGCATGAGGCTCCTTTTGTCCTTTATTTTATGAGGAAAAGAAATGTACTTCATTGTCTCTGGGAGAAAAATACAAGCAACATTTCCATATCTCTTTCCTCAGAGCTTTAGAGGTTATGCCCATATTGTGATTCCAGACCCTTACAGAGTTGACTGTGTTTTGAAAACCAGCATTTTTCCAGCTTCTTTTGTTCTGCTGAAAGCTAGCACAATTATTTTGCACTGTTAAGATTTCTAAATAATAGCCCATTTCTTTTCCCCCTCTTGTGCAATAAGTTTTTGTGTATTTGTTTGATTCTTCCCATCATTCACATTTTTAGTTTATCTTAGAAGAACTATTCTCCATGCTGTTCCCCTGGGGAGAGCCTTCCTAGGGACACCTCTGAGCATTGCTGGTCTGCTAGAAAAGACCTGCCCTATGCAGAGCGGATATCCCAGCCTTCATCTACATGGGCAGCCTGCTGGAAAAATTAATCCTTTCTCCTCAGGACTCTTGTTAATTCAATTATTTTTGTACTGTTCAAATGCTTTTCTCAAAGTCTGACTTTCTGTAAACAAGTGCTGCACCACTGTGCTAATACACAAATCATTTAATCATGCATCTGAGCGTTTCCTCTATGAAATGTATTTTCTGCACCTAAGTGATCAGACAAACCACTTATTGATACCAAAATTTATCTACCTAATCCATTCTGACAACTGAAAGCAGAATTAAACGCTGTTCGCGGGGAGGCAAAGAGGGACACAATGGGACTTGCCATTTCAAATTCTCGTCTCTCCGTGCCACACACGCTTCAGCCTCTGCCTGGCTCTGCTCCATGCTTCAGACGAGAGGTCACTAAAGACAATAGAACAACAGGCTCCAGGCAACATCGAGCATTTTAACTATTGTATTAAAGTATATATTTTACATAATATATTTACACAAAAGGCAAAAATACCAGTTTTGGCCCTGCAATGACTGTCCTTAGGAAAAGCAGGCATCTGGGAGCAGCAATTCTGTTCCCATTACTCTTCTGGAACACAAAGCCCCTCACACTTGGCCAGAAGTTCTACATGTTTCTCCATAAATATCAAGCACAGCATATCCTGGAATCACAAAACCCAAGGGCACTCTCAGTGTTATAGGTAGATTGCTCTAATGGCTTAGGCTCAAGATAATTTGTTTTGCACTCTCAGCTGTCACTGGTCTGCTGACTGAACTTCAGCAAGTTATCCATCACTCTGGTTTGTTTTCCTGTATATTGCTTGTGTCTGGAAATGGTCTTGAAATCCAGAATCACTTCTTATTTTGCATATTTTGATAGTACTTGGCAAAAGAAGCCCAATCTCAGTTGCAGTCTGTACATTTATAGAGCATTTATAACCTGCTATTTATATAACATCTATAGGATACAGCCAGTAGCATGTTGTTGGTAGACAAGGTTAAGACAGCCCTGCAGAGAATTATAAAGATGTATGAGGTGTCCAAATGGGGCACTGCGATGCATCTTAAAGAGGTATTCCATCAAGGAAAAAGGCTAATAGATGTCACCCATTGAACCTTGGGATCATTTGTCAGCAGCAGAGAGATTGCCTCCCTGTATTCGAATCGCTTGTCCGACAAACACAATCCTTTCTTACGCAAATCACTAAAGGGTCTCATTTAAATCCGAGCATTGTCCTGGAAGCGCCATGTGCTCTCTCCTGCCTTTGCTGGGGTTCTCCTCAACTGGCCTCATTTCTCAAAGTAGGCTTTCTAAAGAGAGGGGCCCCCTCTCAAAACCAAACATTGCTGTCCCTGTGGGATACTGTGTTTCTAGGAGATGCAAACATCTGATACTAATCAGGGTCTGGGTCTGCCAGATATATTCCTCATGTGCAGTAGCAAACTCTGCAAGTAAAGGCTCTGATGGCAAATGAACTGTTCAGGAATATGATAGTAATATGCGTTCATTGCTAACAGAAGAGACAGGTTTGGGCTCTGTGGGAGCAAAGTTGGTGAGCACACATCCAAAAGCACCTAAAGGTAATGCCTTGAAAAGTTAAGGAAGATCTTCAGCCCTGGATCTGGTTTGCAGCTAGTCCCAAGTGTCCTTCTGGTGCCAGACTGCTGTGAGAGGAGCCTATAAAAATGGACCTTTCTGAGCTGTAGGTTTAAAAGGTAAAAGAAGAGGACACAGTTTCAAAGGTACATTAAATTAGTTCCTATGAAGATGAATGGAAAACATACAGAGTTTAATTGATGCAATTTTTGGAATAATCTCACCATCAGGGCTTGTGGTTAGGTGCCAGCCCCCCCACACCAAGAGTCAGCACAAACATTGGCTCCTCCAGATGATGATTCACAA